AAAGGCGAGAGTATTCCAATGGCCAATCGATTCTCACCATCCCCGATCATGGAGATGGAAACTAAAACCCACAAATCATGTTTCACACAACCGTTAAAGGAGTTTAAAGTCCCCAAGGGTTACACAGGCTGTCAGGATAGCCATGCATTGACACATTCCTGGAGAGTGTGTAAACTGCGGCAAATATTTGGGAATGGTAGTTTGCTGAGACTGTAAATAGGAAATTATAGATACTATGTGTCTGCCAGTCTTCTCTGCACTGCAGAGAAACATTTACCCCTATTGCTGGGCCACAGCCCAGGTGGAAACACATTGAGCTTGATAATGGGTGAAAGCCATTATATACCCAGGGAGTTGTAAGAAATAGCTAGCTTGCTCTGGCAGGATCCAGGCAAATGCAGCCACACAAACCCCCAAGATTTAATTTTGAGGGTGCTGTTGGTGCAGTGGTTGACGGCTGAGCTACTTACCAAAATGAGAGCGGTTCAAACCCACCAGGTGCTCTGGCAGAAAATGATGTGGCAGGCTGCTTCTAAAAAGATTTACAGCTTTGGCAATTTCATGGACAGGTCTACTCTGTCCTTTAGGGTCACTGTTTATTGGAATCAACTCATTGACAACATGCTCAGAGATTTGGTCAAGGTTAGAGGAGGCAGGACAGGAAAAGCCACACAACCCAATGCGACCACCTGATTGGCTTTCTCCTTCAGATGGGCTTGGGAGGGAACCAAATGCCTTCATTCTTATTGGTAACATCTTCTTGGGGCAATCCAACAACGGATCTGCTAGTTGGCTAAGGACAATATGTGTGCCGGTACCTTGATGTGAGCTTGGAAGATTCTCATCTGTTGAAGACCTAAAGACTGCAGCAGTTGATGGGAACTTAGCAAAGCCCCAGCGCTTGCAGTGTGTCCATTTCTAGCACATCCTGCTAGATGTTAGCTATGCTTGGAGAAGATACACAGTACTGTTCCCAGAAAAGGTCACACGTGAGGCCTTCAAGTGCTATGCCCCCACGTCCTCTTCATAGCCCAGCTGAGAACATGCTGAGCCTAATAAAGGAGGAAAGCTATTATGTAACAATGGAGTTGCAAGAAATAGATAGCCTGTAGTGACAGGGGTCAGGGCAATGCCCTTTTTTGGATTTTGAGGTTATGGGATGAACGAGGAAGGAACCTTGGTGGCGCAGTGGCTAAATGCCCAGCTCTAACCAAAAGGTTGGTGATTCAAACCTAAAAGGTATCTGGAGGAGAAAGATGTGGCAGTCAGCTCCTGAAAAGATTTACAGCATTGAGAAACTTATGGGGCAGTTCTACTCTGACCTTTAGGTACACTATGAGTTAGAATCAATTAGACGACGACAAGCTATTGGATGAGGGGAACTGGAATATAAGCATGGATAAGCAAGAATTCAGGGATGGAAAGCACTTTCTGGACACA